GGGAGTCATGTCCTGCAGGTGAGGTCCTCGTCCCCCAGAAAGTGTTCTCCAGGGTGAGCAGGCCCTGCATTTAAGTGGATGCCAACTGTGTGTGTGTCTGGTGGCACTGTGTGCATTTGCATATGGGAGGTGTCTGCACATACAAAAGGCAAGAGGTGAGGGAGGTCCTGGTCTCTGGGTCTTCTACTGGAAGGAGGTGCTGACTGTGCCCTCATTGAACCAGGCCCTCCTTGGGGTCCTGGTCACCGTGCCCAGGGACCTCTCCTTCCACACCAGGGGCTATGCTGCAGGAGGTGGTCAGGAAGGAGGATGTGGGCACAATCAGTGACTCCTTAGGGATAACATCAATGTGCCTCTGCTCCTATGGATCTAGATCTAGCTCTAGACGATATAGATATAGATGATATAGATATAGATATAGATATAGATATAGATATAGATATAGATATAGATATAGATATAGATATAGATATAGATACGGATAGACATAGATACCGATCTTTTTAAATATATATATATATTTGATATTTAGAGAGAGAGAAAGGGAGAGGGATAGAGAGAAACATACTTGACAGATTGGCTGCCTACTGCATGGTCCCCTCTGGGATGGAGACTGCAACCCCATTCACGTGTCCTCACCAGGAATCAAACCAGTGACTTCTTGGGTCGAGGATCAAAGTACAACAGCTGAGCCACATGAGCCAGGCTGGATCTTCTTTTCTTTATTCTTACCTGAGGAGGTGCTCATTGACTTTTTGAGTGAAAGGAAAGGAGAGAGAAATATTGAACAGAGATGGGGAGAGAAGGACAAATATTGACGGCAGAGAAAATATTTATCAGTTGCCTCCCATAACTGCGCAGACTGGGAATCAAACCCACAACCTTTTCATTTATTTATTTTAATACTAGAGGCCCAGTGTGCGAATTCTTGCATGGGTGGGGTCTGGCTGGCACACTACATCTGGGCTGATCAGGGTGGGCTGGTTGGCAAGAGGGGAGGAGGGTGGTTGGTTGGCCAGCCCTGCCCCATGGTCAAACTCCTGGTCGAGGGGACTATATGCATAGGAGCCTTTTTTAATGTAGGACATTTTTCACAGATTTCAGAGAGGAAGGGAGAAGGAGGGTGAGATTAGAAACATCAATGATAAGAGGTAATCATTGATCTGTTGTGTCCTGCATAGTCACAATTGGATATCGAACCCAAAACTCAGCCATGTGCCCTGACCAGGAATGGAATCATAGGTCAAGGCTCAACCACTGAGCTATATCAACCAGGCTTCATTCCGTTTTGAAATATATTTTCAATTAGTTTAGAATTCTAAGTTGATGGATTTTCATTTTCTCTTCAGCACTTTAAAGTCATTGTTCCTTTCTCCTCTGTTTTTTCCAGTTTTTTTTGATGTTTTTATTAATCTTTTAACAATATTGTTATTGATGTCAGAGAGGTAGGGAGAGGGAGAAGGAGATGGAAACATCAATGACAAGAGAGAATCATTGATCGGCTGCCTCCTGCATGTTTCCTTTTGGGGATTAATCCTGTGAACCAGGTGTGTGCCCTGAACGAGAATCAAACACATACCCTGGTGGTCCCTGAGCCAACCCTCAACTCCTGAGACACACCAGCTGGGCTC